ATATTCTCTCTCTCTCACACACACACACACATACTAAGAATTTTACAGAAGACCTGCTGGTCTTTTGACAAAAAGAAGAAGAAAGCGGAGGAACCAAGAGTTCCTTTCGGTGTGGAAATGAACCAGCCACAAATTCTGCAGAGTTTTATTGCAGCTGCACAAGACCACAGAGAAAGAGCCAGAAATAAATCTGCTCAAAAATCTGACAGCATGTTTCTCAAAAAATCCCAAAACGAATCCTGGATTAAGTATTGTGATCCTATAGCATCTTGCATTTCAGATAAGTTGGGTGTATGTAACTATGTTCTATGAATGAAAGAACAGACAATTCCCACTTTATGACTGTTTATAATAAATTATATTGCAACAACCCTTTTTTAAGTTTCCTTTCTGCTGGCTTTCACATGCTTAGTCAATCCAGTACAAACTAATCTGTAAGAGTGCATTGGAAAATAATATATATTTTACAACATTATAATTCTAAATGGATTTCCCAACAAAATTAATGGTGTCACTATTTAGTGACCCAAGCAGCATTATTCACGTCAGCCTTTCTTAAAAATACATAGTTGAAGTCATATCTAATCCATGAAATTTAACCACAGTAAGAATATATGCCATCTGTTGCAAACTTCTCCATATTAATGAATAGATTCCTAAGTACTGGGAATTGTGCTTGTCAATACTTTAATTTGGAGAAATGAGGTCTGTCTATAAAGTGCATTGACACCTTAAAAAGGCATATACATTTATCTCTTGGAAGGATCCAGAACTGAATCAAACAGCTAATTATTTCAAGGATGGAGTGGAAAAGAGATTTAAACATTTTTTTCTTCACAGCATCACATAAGCAAAAGAAAGAACAAAGAACTCCCATTCTGCCATCTTATCTTTTTTGACAGCTGCTTCCTCAGTATAAATGATGGTATAATTGTTCTCATCAGTCTTATAATTAAAATCACTATCCAGCTGATGTACAGTTTGCAAAGGCTTCCCTTATGAGTTTGCCAGATGTTGCCTTATTAGATCAGGACTTTGCTGCTCTAAGAAGTTCTGTCATAATCATCAGTACTTTTGTGTGCCTCAGTTAATGTTTGTTGGCATAGTTTGTAGGCACTTGAGGAATGAGCTATCAGATCTTAAGGGACTTATTCTGCACTATCTGGTACCTCTACTATTGTACAGTACTTAGCCTTCATATTTATTCTCATTCAAAAATATGTTATAATATTTAGCACACATGAAATTGCAGCCAAGATGGTCTTTTTGTCTGAAGGCTTGCAGTTTTGCAGAGCCTGGGAGCAGGTTGTTTTCCCATTGGCAAGAACCCTTGACCCACCTCCCAACTCCGTTCTCTTCTAATAGTTATGCCACCATAACATTTTTTTTCCCTGGGCATTTTTATGTCAGCAGAAATAGAAAAGACCATGGGTTTCTGCAAGAAACTTTGGAGGGATTGAGGGGTGGCCATAGCAACTATCTGGAAAGACCCACAGGCTGTGAATGGATAAGAGTGAAAACTGTCCAAAGAAATTCTAAAGAACTTTTCCCGTTTCACCTAACCAGAGTCTGGTTAAATATTAAAGCAAAACATAGAGCTTAAATTGTCTTCCAGGAATCAGAATGACAAAATAACTTCCAGTTATTTATTTGTTTCATACGGTATAATAGAATACATCATTAACCATTTTTTTTTATACTCATGCTGATTCTACTTGTTGGAAGATCCTTGCGAAGTCCAGCAGCCAGAATGCGTAGAATAGACTATTTAGCAGTGACAAAGTCATGTTGTCCAGGATAGCACGAGTAAACTGGTCTACACTGCACCTCAACCTCCAATTTATAAGTACTTTTACTATGCTATCAACCTGCTGATTTGTGGAATTTTATTCCAGACCACATCACAAACTATTTGTAATAGAAGTTTATCCCATCACTGGATACCTTATTTCTTTTTCTAACCACAAAATTATAATGTGTGAAAAAAACATGATTCGTGTACATTAGGCGTAGAAAGGGTTTGTTAAAAAGAAATCACTTCTTTGATAAGGTAACTAAGTTAGATCAGGAGAATGCTATGGATATAGTATACTTGGACTTCAGTAACACATTTGACAAAGTAGACCACGATCTACTTCTTTGTAAGATAGAAGAATGCAGGATAAAAAATATAACTACCAGATGGACTTGTGGTTGGCTGACCAATCACACTCATTCAGCATGTGATTCTCAATGGAATTTCATACCTCTACATGTAAGAAAGCAGGCAGTGGGATTCCTTAAGATTCTGTCTTGGGCCCAATACTCTTTAACATAGGATGAACTATTGCATGAAGTGGGTATGCCTAGATTAATGAAGAAAAGGACTATGAGTGACACAATAGCAGACTTTAGTCAAGCTGACTTGACAGGCTGTCACAGAGAAAAGGGAATTGACTTATTCTGCAAAGCATCTAGTGCAGAACAAGAAGCAATGGGTGGAAGTTCATTAAAAAGAAATTCAACCTGGAACTAAGAAGAAATTTCATGATAGACAGAACAATTAATCAGTGGGAAAGCTTGCCTCCTGGAGTTGTAGGTGCTCCATTGCTGGAGGTTTTTAAAGAAAAATTGGACAATCATTTTTCCCGGGATGGTATAAGGTCTCCTGCTTTGGGCAAGGGGGTCAGATACAAGACCTCCGAGATCCCTTCCAGTCATATGTAATTGTAGAAGAAATATGGACAATATGTTTCTCTATTGCTTACATGCAGTGACATTTTAGACTCTCAAAGCAAGGTCTCTCCTCTCCCCAAGTTCCTATAATTTTAGAAAGAGTAAATATTTCATTCCACCTGAGTGATTTTTCTTGAGTCCGCATGCATGGCAGTCATATCAAATATAGAATCATTGTATTAAAATATAGAAATATAGCTAGCAAGTAGTAGTACAATGATACAGTAAAGCAGACATACACATTCATATATACTACCTACACGCATTCAAGAATTGATAAGATTATTAGTCCAATCTTATAAATACGTATTATAAAATAAACTTTACAAAGCTATGGATAATTAAACCAAATTCAAAGACTATGATTTCACACAGTTCTGCTCCTTAGCATATTCTTCTCATAGTTATGCTGCCACAGTCTGCAACTAGATGCTAAGGATAACAAGACAGGCTTCTTTAGGTATATGCAACAGAAGAAAAGAATCAGTATACAAGTTTCTCAGTGAAGAAAGTGAAATGCTATCAGTAACAAAGGAAAACCAGAGCTACTCCATTTGTAGTCTGGTTCAATCTTCTCCAGTAAAAACAAATATAAATGTTGAGATCAGAAGGAAGAAACAGGACTAAAGACTAAAACTGATATAATTTGATCAGGAAATGCTTCTTTATTTTAACTTTCCAGGACCAAAAGAAATTATCTGATGGTCTGGACAAATCATTATGTATTATCTGAGAACTGCTGGGAAACTATCAAGCATCATATAACCAGGGGATGAGTGAAGCAGGGCAAACTTCCTTCAAAATCAAGTATGTGTGCTAGACATTACTGTTATCTACCTTGTGGACAAATTATCCATCATTAAATGCAGAAACCAAATGTTGGGTCTTATTGATAAAACGTACATGAACAAATCTCCAGAGTTTTAAAACTTAAATGTACAATTCTATCATATAAAACATGTTAAAAAGGATTTAAGCTGCGTCCAGGTAATTAAAGGCTGGATAACATAATATCTGCTATGGATAAATGGTTGGAAAATATTACTCAAAATGAAATGAAATACATGGAAGAATAATGTTTGTTGAACAGGAATTAACATGGCTTTTGCAAATGTAACTTTTTACAGTTCTTGAAAGTGTCACGAAAGTAAATGTTAGGAATTTCAAAGAGAGCCTGAGGAAGTACTTTATAACACAAGTAGTGTTTTAATCTACTACAAGTAATAGATGGCTGATTTATGTATTTACTCATTATATTTTTAATTGGCCCGATAATCAAAATTCCCTAGTGTAATCACAACAGTTTCTTCCTTCATTATCCATTCTACTCATCATATGTATGGCCACTAAACATTTTGATCTGATCCTGCAAGGCTTACATAAAGTTCATTAGAAACTCTGAAAGTTTGTTTGGATTTGTATAACATGCTAAGTCATTAAGCATAATTTACAAATCACAATATTTGGGTTCACACAACACACTAACTATATGATAACCTAGTTTAGACTACTGGGCTAAGCTAGTTCCTGAACCAGTGAATTTATACAGGTAGTCCTTGACTTACAATCACAATTGAGCCCCAAATTTCTGTTGTTAAGCAAGACATTTGGGAAGTGAGTTTTGGCCCATTTTACAACCTTTCTTGCCACATTTGTTAAGTGAATCACGGCCATTGATAAGTTAGTAATGTTGTTGTTAAGTGACTCCGGCTTTCCCATTGACTTCGCTTGTCAGAACATTGTGAAAGGTGACCGTGGGACACAGCAAGTCATAAATATGAACCAATTGCCAAGTATATGAATTCTGAAAACATGATCATAGGGATGCTGCAAAGGTCATAACTTTGAAAAAAAAAGTGTGCCATTGTAACTCTGAAAGGTCACAAAACGAACTGTTGTAAATCGAGGACAAGCTGCATGTACACCCAATTGGGTAAACCATACAGCCATACGGTATAGAAAAGAGAGCTTAATCCATCCCCCGAAGTTGGCAGATCTTTCTAAGGTACCCATAAGCAGGTCTCTCCCAGATGTATTCAACTATCGCTCCCGCCATTCCAGGCGCAAAACTGCCTCGCTGCGCCGGCTAAGGAGATCGGCGTTCCGCTTCTACACATCTGGCGGGCATCCGTGGGGCGACGCCAGCCTCCGAGGCTCCATCTACCTCCCCGAAGGAAGCGGAATGTCTTCCCGCTCTCGGGTGGGAGGAGGCTGGCTGGGCTTGGCCTAACCGCCTCCGCCTCCCTCCCTCGCCCTGTCAAGAGCAGGCTAGCCCAACACGGGTCAGGGCGACGCATTCGATCGCGGGCCGCCAGCCAAGCCTGCCGAAGCTGACGTGCGCTCCGTCACCAACACGCTGCCTTGTGCCCTAGGCAGGAGCCTTTCCTCTTCTTCCGGCGACGCGGTTTGCTACGACGAGGCTTCCTCCGCTCCGTTCAGCCGGTTGAAGATAACCGCGCTCCGTTTTCCGGATGCGTGTTTTCGGTTGACGCGCAGGGATATTTAGGAGTCCCCCGAAGGAGACTGGGACGGATTTCGGCGGGCGCGGTGGTGACGGGACCGCGCGCCTCTTGGGATTTCGGTTCGGCGGCGCCCAGGTGAGAAAGGGAGGAAACGGGCCGCCGAGTCCAAGAGGAGACCGAGGGAGGCAGGGGCGTTTGGGACCCGCGGACGAGCCTCCGGCCGGGTGGGGAGGAAGGCACGAGGGAACAAGCGGACTCCGCCTGCCCCTTTTGCCCAGGACGCGCTCTCGTTCCATCCAGGCTTCCTGCTCGGGGGCAGATACACTTTTGCCATTCTCTGAAAATGCGTGGGCCAGAGGTTGGTGGTAACATAATCTGGTGCCCGCCATCCGCATTGGATTACAACTCCCATCACCCTCAGCCATCAACTCCAGACCCGATGGAATTGTGTTTCAAACGTACCTGAATGACGGTGGGAGAAGCTGCTCCATTTAGTGTGTGTGGCTTCATGTTGTTTGGATAAATCCCCGGTGAAAACGTAGGGATTTTTGTTTTGGTTTTATGGTTTTTCTAGATCCGTACGACATATTTGCTGAGCGACCGAAAGCTTGTTTGGGGAGAATGCCTTAGATCCCCCGGTTTGTCCGTAACTGAATATGAAATTCTTTAAAAGAGGAATTATTAGGATAACACTTTAAAAAGCTATATGAACAATTCTTATATGGGAACCAAAGATAAAGGAGAGGTGCGCATTGGATTTCCCATGCAATTGTTTTGCCAAGTTTTTTTTTCCCCTTGCTTAAATAGAGGCTCACTGTCAAACAATAGTTGGATGATTTCTCATTAAATTATGACCCAGAAAGGCAACTACAATGTGTTGGGGGGGGTGGGTTTTCACCAATGTTCGGTTTAAGAATTTTTTAAAAAATGTAGATTGGAGGTGAAAAAAATGTTGATAAAAAATTCACCGTTTTTATCAATCTAATAAATATTGTTAAGTTCTAATTAGGGGGCTTTTGAAAATTTTTATATTAGTAATTTGCTCACCATATGTTCCCTTTCCCAAAACTGTCATATGTAGACATGACAGGGCATTAAATCAGTTTGGAGGTTTGTTTTTGTGTTTGTGTGTTAAGGAGGCAGAACTGTTGCATTTCTTAAGATGCGACTTCAGTGCCTATCTCTCAAACCTATAATAGGTGCGTAGGCTGTTGGTTGCAAAGCCAAGTTGCATATTCACGTTTATATTGTGTAATTATGGATTAAGCCTTAAAATGTAGCAAGTTGGAGTGTTGTATTGGAAAGTATTAAAGTATTGAATTATCAGTAAAATCATTACTGAATTTCCAGTAAAATCATTACTGAATTTCCAGTATTTAAATTCCTTTTGATCTGTGATATATAATCTGATAGGGTTTCTGAAATAAACACAACTTGAGTTCAAATACCTGTTTATGCTAATGAGGAAGTTAATCTGAAATTATAGTACAAGCATTTGTTAATTAATACTTATTCAGGGTGAGATCACTTGCGCATAACTGAATTTTATGTTGTTTACTTGCAAGTTTGACTATTTAGTATAAGCAAGCTGCTATGGGCTGCCAGATCTGGGCTGTAACAAATCTGAGAAACTCTTTACTCCCATCTGGTGGCCATCCAGAGATTTTCAGTCCAGAAATGGTAACCCTAATTTCATGGCAACTAAAACTGGTAAGCACATGGGTTTCTGTGCAATAAATAATTTCCAACTGGTATTTGATACATTTTCTTTTTCCATGCTTTTTTCTTTTTCGTTAGTTTGTTTTTCACGATCTGCCCTCTTTTTTAGTCCTAAATTGTCACATAATTCTTTATTGCATCCTTAATTAATGGGATTAAAATAGGTCTTCTGTGTCATAATGGAAAATGTTGAATAGCAGATGATTCTGTTTAATCCTGTTTTTGTGTGTGTGTGTCAAACAAATATAATCCATACTTGGAAATCTTATTCATGCCCTGCAGCTTATTAATGGGCATTACCAAACTACAATAACTGAAAGCTTGTTGTATAGTTAGGTGTTCATGTATTTGAAGATATCCAAGCTATTGTTAGGAAATCATTTTTTCCAGAACTATGTCTCCAAAATATTAATGCTGGGGTTATTGTGATGGTGATGGGATCAGATAATTATATAACCAACAGAGATTTGTATTCTGTGTTGTTGTACAAAGATACAGTCAACGCTTGAATATACAGGTTTTTTTAATAGGTTTAGATCATATTATACTTATATGACTGCTGAAGTTCAAAATGTTAAACTACCCTAAATATTTGAGGCCAAACATTTAGAAGGAGGAGGAGAAAGAACTGTACTATAGATACTTATAAATGTATAGAAAGAAATAATGGCAGTGGTATTTTTACTAGAATGAGATATACTTACCTGAAAAAAATTGCATTTTAATCCAGTATAATGGATTTTTAAATATTCCATATAATTAGAACTTCTTTTATATTTGAGCAAGGCAATCTTCATGTTAAATATTATTTTGATTGTTTCTAGTCATGTAAATATGTATGTATAAACAATAGTAATAACTTCAAACCAGCTTAGCTTTCGTTGTCAAAATATTTTAATTATAGTTTCACCAGCCTCCCCAGCAACTTTTGCATTCTTTTTATTAAACTAAAATTTATGGGATACTGATGGGATTTAAGAGTAACACAATCAAAGTGATAGTGCCCAAATCTGATACCAAAGAGTTAACCTAAAACAACAAAGCATTGTGATAAAATATGTGTCCATTGTGTCAAACTGAACAACCCCCAACCCCCTCCAATGACTAATGACCTTTTCATTCAGTATATTCTTACACTGAATATAGGTATTCAGATTTTACCTTAACTCCATCAACTATAGTTTTAAGAGATTTAATTTTTTAAAATTGTATGTCTCATTTGGCAGCATTAAATACAGTATACTATCATTTCCTTTTACTGTCCTTTTTACTGTCCTGGGGACGGGGTTCTGATTGTGAACCTGTTATTTTTTAAAGGATCTATAACAATGCAGATAGTCCTTGACTTACAACCATAATTGAACCCAAAATTTCTGTTGCAAAGTAAGACAGTTGTTAACTCAGTTTTGCCCCATTTTACAGCATTTCTTGACATAAGCAGTTAAGTTAGCAACAAAGTTAAGTGAATCTGGCTTCTCCAAGGTCACAAAAGGTGATCAAAGGACCCTAGGAAACTGCAGTTGTCATAAATACAGGCTAGACGCCAAGCACCCAAATTTTGGTTACATGACCATGGGGATGCTGCAACAGTTATAAGTGTGAAAATTTGTCATGTCACTTTTTTAAATGCTGCTATAACTTTGAATGGTCACTAGATGAATTGTTGTAAGTCAAGGACTACCTGTATCAAAAAAATTAGATTCATATCTTGATGCCAGGCATGAGTATCCTAAAGCATGGGTCCCCAACTCTTGGGCGGCAGACTGGCACTGGACCATTGCCCATTGGGAACTTGGCCGTGCAAGTGATGGGTGAGTGCATGTGTGCGCTAAATCATCCCCTCTTCCTCCTCCCTCCCAAACATTACCACTGCTGATCTGTGGAGCCAAAAGGGTTGAGGACCACTGTCCTAAGAATTTTGCCTGGGGGTAGAGATAAGGAGGGGGGGGGGACCTCAAACCTCTGACCTACATTTGTTTATGATTTTTCCTACTGTATTAAAATATTTTTCATGGAGAAGGATATTGTAATTTTGATTATTGTTTAACAAGGATGTTTGTATTAGAAGATGCTTATGTTAGAAGATGAAATGATTGTATTAAAAATTTAAAAAAATATTTAAAAAATAATATAAAAATAAAATATTCTTCATTGTAAATTAAAACAGCCAAGCCTTATACATTAGTATTGACGATAATTATTTTCACTTTCAAAAGTAATTCTACAATGCGCTATATGAAAGTGATTTGTCTTGTTCATCCTTTATTTTAAAGGTCCATTTACATTTAATGGTAGTTTGACTACATGTGTGTATTGTATATAAGAAAATTGGCGTCATCACCTCAAAATGAAAGAATTATCATGTTTGTATATTTTTGTGAGCTGCAATAAATGCATTATTTGGATATAACCATGAGTTATTATTTTTATTTCATTTATAAACCAATATTTTTGTATTTTGTTTCTACTTTTAGATGAGTGAATTTGGAATTAAAAACATGGATCAAGTAGCACCTGTTTGCAATGTATATAGAGAATTGTTCAAGGTAAGCCATGAAGGAAAAACAGATATGTTTAGTAATACTCAGGTTAACACTGGGCAAAGGATATCAATTTAATGTACAAATTAGGAGATCCTATATAATGCTATGTCAGCAATAATTAATGTTTTTACTGAGTTATTACTGTTACTGAATTAAGAAGTTACACAAATCTACAGTGTCATTTTAATGCTAATTACATTTTAAAAAAAGAGAACAAAAGTAGTAAGTAATCCTCTCAGTATAGCAATTAACTCTTCCCTGGTCATCTCTACAAAAGATATCTAATATGCCATTGATATAACTAAAATTATTTTCATATCACTGTCAATCTTTATTGCAATATCAGTGCCATTAATATGTTTTTAAATGGTTTAAAATGTTTTTAATGGTCTTGATATTACTTCTATACAATTTTTACATATTTTTAAAATATCAACTTCATATCTTTTTGCTTGCTTTGATGTTGTAACATAACCTTTTAAAATCAATTAAATATAATGAATTATATAATACAATTAATTATATTGAAAGCCCTTGTGTCAGTATTGCCTCAAATTCAAAATTCTTCAAAGAATGTTTACAGAATATGTACTAGAAAGTAGTTACTTATTCATTGGCTTGATAGTAAGTGTGGGGCTATTTGTTCACTTACTTAAAAAGATAAATCATAATGTAACACTTTTGATAAATGTCACTTATTGACAGAGCTGCTTGTAAAGCATCTTGTAGGCCATTGGCCTTGAGTGGGACAGGCCCATCACAGTGGAGCTTTTCTGAGTACTTTTAAGATTTGGACATGATATTTTATTACAGTTGGTTGGATTTAAACTATAGAAATTTTAAACTTGCTCATTTTACTATTTAATTTCATGTTTTAAACATGCAGAAAACTTTTGAAGTACAGTATCCCTTTTGATCTTACAGAGTGTTACCCATTTTTTCCAGTGACTCAGTGTAAGGGATCATTTATTTACACAAAACAGAGGAGTTTCCAGATTATGTTGAAAGTATTTGGCCTTTCCTCTAAATATTAGTGATGACTCAGATCTTTTTATCTAGTAACACTGAAAGAATTTGTCATTACTATGCCAGCTATCTAACTTTCTAACCATTTCAATTATACAGCAAATTGGTTAAATTCTTGATGTTGAACTTTGTAACTTGTTAAATCTATAGGTATAGTTTCATTATTCTAGACTGAAACACTTTGGCTAAATTTTACATAGCTCTTTGGTCGCTCATTTAAACAGTATATAAATTCTATAATAACTCAATAGAAACTTATGCTGCATTAATATTAAAATACCTGGTGGTACTGCTACCCCATCAATTTGATAAGTGATTTATAAAATAATATAGATTAATATAACATAATCACAATGAGATGTAAATTGCATTTTGATATGCAAACTGGGCTGCTTCAGGCATACATTGCTCCAGAGTTTCTTGCATTTATTTATTTGTTTATCAAACCTGCATGTCACTCAACTCCCAGTGACTCTGGATGTCTTAGGATCAGGCTATTTGAAAAACCTATAGGACTCTGGCCATACTTTATTGGCCCTAAAAAAACCAGACTCATTGCCTTAACTATTGTATGTATTACTGATGAGATATTTGGCATAATCATGGAAAGTTCTTATGCAGTTTGAGAAACCTCTGCTGAACTAAGTTTTTTAACATTTGTAACTGAATCAGACAATTAACATAACACATGGTTCATCCTTCTAACTATATATGGTGCCAGGCAATCCTTTAAAGGCATTTAATGCAAGTTTAATGTGTTTAATACAAGTATTGACGCATAGAAGAAATGCAAGTCTTTAAATAGTACCAAAAGGCCTGAATAACTGAGTCAAAAATGTATCAAAGGAGCTTTTCAAGTTTCTAGATCTGTATATTTCAGAAAAAAATTCTTAAAAACTTTGTAGTTGATATTATGGAAATAAAGTTTTTTTTTTTTTTAGAAATGATTCGATTGCATAGAATGAAAGTATCCAAATTCTTCCTCAGTGACCTATGAGTTGCACTAACATTTTAGAACATGTATCCAAGAGATTTTCAATTCTGAGTTGGAGATGATAACAGTTTTATTTATTATTTGATTTATTTGATTTCTATAGCCATCCATCTCAATGTGTAATTCTGGTGGCATGCATCATAAAACATAATAATTTACAACAATTATAAGAGTCCAGGCACACAACCAAGTGTGAGTAGTCAATATTGTCGGAGTCATCCTGACCTCTGAAGAAAATATTATTTTAGAGGGCAGGTGCTAAGGCGGTTTTTATCCACTGACATTTTTTAGCTAATGGGACCTGCAACATTTTCAAACTGCCTGACCAAACTGGACAGGTAGAAATGACTGGGAGAAGATGTTCCCTAAGATAATCTGGCCTCAAGCCATGAAGGACTTTAAAAGTGATAACCAGCACATTGATTTGATAACCAGTGCATTTCGGGAAGATCGATGTTAAATGTGTCAAATATGCACATTACTAACTACGTAGCAGTTGAATCTTCCAAATATTCTTCAAAGAAACCCTATATAGAACACATTGCAACAGTGCATGAGAGAGATCACAAGGGCATGAGTGACTGTGAACAAAGCCTCCTGATCCAGGAAGAGCTGCAAGTGACACCCCACCTTAAAGTGAGCAGAGGCACTTCTGGCCATTGCTGCCACCTGCTCTTCTAGCAAGAGCCATGAGTCCAAGAGGACCCCTGTATTGTGCACTAGGTCATCTGGGGCATTGCTCCAAATTAGAATGCCACATTTGCTTTGTCATAATATATTAAATTTGCTGTGGATGTAATAAGATACTCACATTGATGTTTTCTATGTTTCAGCGCCAACATGCATTTGATAGCTTTGAGGGTGCTTTGTTTACTGGATTCTATCCACCACTAAATGAAGATCAGACACTTCAAGAAGTGCCAACCGGGCTTGATTCTATTTCTTTTGGTAAAGCTTGTTTTTATAAGTAGTTTTGTCATGCTAATTAAAGAATTCAAAGTCATTTACACAAGAAATTAGAGAGGAATCAATATCCCAATTATCAAAAGTCATTGCAAAAGTTCATATTTTAGAAATGTTTATATAAAAAATAATTTGATTGTGCACACATCTTTGTAATCATTATGTAGCCTTAATAGTGGCCAGGAATAAAGTAGGAACTATTACGGATCTTATATTAAGAATTCTAGCTAAGATTTCCAACATTTTCCAGTATTGAAATATTAACAGTTCAGAAGCTATACTACTGACTAGATTTATTTGATGTTAGACATTCATACAACATTCCTTCTTTTTCTGCAGATTATATTCTCTTTGTTCTTGTTATGTTCAACATTATAATTCCTTTGTTTTTCAGAATCAAGCTCTTCTGAATTGCCACTCTTAACTCCATGTAGTAAGGCTGTAATGAGTCAGGCCTTAAATGCAACTTTCAGTGGCTTCACAAAAGAACAGCACAGACTAGGCATTCCAAACAGTAAGTGGGAGGGTTTTCCTTCCTTCCTTTCTAATATGGATTAGGCTAATTGATTGTTGTATCTTCTTCCTCATCCTAATATAATTAAAATTTACTGTACAATTCTCATTTACTAAACCATTACTTCCAAATATATTCATCACAATAATGGTGATGTTCATATGAATTTGCTTAAAATTGTATTCTATATTCCTGCAGTTGTAAACTGAGTTAAATATTAAGAGCTTTAACTCCAAAAATGTGTGGTGGATTCAGGTGGTAGTAAAAAGGGATAGTAGCTATTATATGTTAGGGTATGCTACTATAGCTTTCCTTGGGGGTGGAATCTTGATAAAGTAATTTGTTTTCTTCCTTTCTGCAGATCCCTGGCTTTGGACACAACATCATGTATGTCAGTGGCTTCTCTGGGCCATCAATGAATTTAGTTTAGTGAATGTGAACTTTGAGAGATTTGCTATGAATGGCCAAGACTTATGCAATCTGGGAAAGGAACATTTTTTGGAACTAGCACCTGATTATGTTGGTGACATCCTCTGGGAACATTTGGATCAGATGATAAAAGGTGAATAAGCTAAATTGAAGTGATAGCTGAATATGCAGAATACGCAAGTTGTGGCAACATTGAGAAAACACTTGTAAAACTTCAAAGTAAATTCTAACTTGCCATTTATTTATCATCTAAAGCATTCCATTTGCGGAGATGGGGTGGACGTGGCCTGCACATGCCGGCCTACAGGCCGCCAGTTTGACACCCCTGATCTAAAGGAACTAGACTGCTTGCTTCCTGTACTATTTGAGGTTATCTTAACATGGGAGTTCTTGTTTTGATTAAGCTGAAGACATAGATTAGAATTGATTTTAGATGGATTCATATACTGTGCTAAGCCAAAACCAAAAATATGTGGTCTTGGCTATAAACATACTTGGAAGCAGATAGAGCTGATCCAGTAAAAAGCAGCCTTACCCAGAGAAACTCACATTGTGACTTTGGACCAGTCAACATTTCTCAATTAAGTATAAAGATTGCCATTGTTGTGACATCTTGAGGGAAAGGAGAGATTGTTTTACATTATTGAAAGAAAGGATAATCAGAGTAATACTGAAAATGTAAAAAATACATACATCTCACTGATTTAACCCTAATTTATATATTTATACTGTATGTGACTGTACAGCTTACAATAAAATAGATAAAATACATAATATAAAATTACATGTTTTATTTTTAGAGGTATAAGTTGGACTGAACTGTGATCAGTTAAAGCCTTTTTTAGTTCCAACACATTAATTTTCAAAATGGCAGGTAATTTTGCCATAAAATACAATTTGGTGAAAATGCTATAACTCATATACGGTATCACACATTGTCAAAGCAAATTCTCCTATTTAGGTGTATATTTAAACATCTTTGCGGGTTTTTTTTCAGACAATGAAGAGAAGCCACAAGATCAATACATGGAAAATTCTCACCTTACTTCATCTCCACATTGGGTCAACAACAACTCTTTAGGTAAATTATTTTCAATAACCATAGTATCAAAATTAGAGGGGCGCAATTTACTGTTTAAAGTAAATAAAGTTTCTTGTTCAATATCTTTACTGAACAGCAACTGATTGTAGACTGGTGCATTTAAACTACAAAAAGTGTTTCCGAGTTTTTTTGTTTTGTTTTGTTTTTGCTGTGGGCATGTCGGAGAAAGAAAGAAATGGACATAGAGAAAAACATGGATAAAGTTCAAAATACCAAAGTACGTGCTAGAAACTTGGAAAACAGGGATAGGGCAGAAAAGACTTCTGTTTCAAACCAGAAGTTGATATTTGAAATCTTATGTGATGTTAGTGGTCAGATATATGTACTTCATTTTGACAAACACTCCATACAGTATAAAATATAAAGTGTTTGAGTTTGATGAATGATATCAATTGACTTTAAGAATTAGCTATTACTTCATGTCTTTGTGAATACGGAATAAATATGATATATTAAATATGTATGGTATATTCAATTTTGCTTTGCTAAAAGTTTAGAATCACTAAAATCACTTAACACTATACTTAACTCACTCAAGTTGAACTACTAGATGCTTTAAGTATACAAAAGCAATTGTACACATGGAAGTGCATTACCATAGTTATACTAGTAGGAGACAGAGTTATATTATCATTGTATTTCAGCTGGTTCCCTCTTTCAAAAAAGTATAAAGATTATGCTTTGTTTAGTTGATAATATGAATAATTGTGGCATTTATTAATAGATGGTCACTATATTTTATTCAGGACAATCCTCAAAGTTGTTTAATTGGATGGTAGGTACTATTACATAAGTTAAGGGATTTCTAACCACAGTTTTGTGGGTTGTTTTTTAGGCACTAATGTTGAACAAGTGCAGTATTGCACTCAAGTACCCAGCTATCCAAAAACGCTAAGTTTCCCAAAAACCAGAATTCTGGGAGATGTATGTCAGACGACAATTGGGCCAAACCTTGTTAATCTAAAACAAGAATTTCAGATGTTTCCTAAAGCACAATTAGAGACTGTCAATGTGAACTACTGTTCAGTGAATCAGGATTTCACAAGAAATAATCTGAACTTGGTGTTGGATAATACAAGTAAGATGTCTATTTCCTTATGTTTATGAGCAGTTATATATTCAAATATGAGATTGCTTATTTTTGTTTTAATAGCCCACTTCTTTGTTTATGACTTAATCATAAAAGTGATTTAATGGATTTCATAGAGCTAGTCTTGACTTTAATTTTATAATTTTACTGATTACATATAGACAAAGCTACAGTAACCTGGAAGGGATTTAAACATCTCTGAAGATATATTTTACTATATCTGTTCTAATTAGCATAATCAAATATATTTGTAAAATTAAAGTATAATGGAATTTCGGGGTTTATTCTCAATTTTAGCACTCCTAGTTCAATTATTTGCATGTTAAATAAGAACAATATTTTAAAATTCAACTTCAGGTATAATAGTTGTTCAGATTTAAGGAAATCTCTATTCATGAAATTTTCTCCTTTTGTCCAGGTAAACCTAAAGAGCATGATTCAAATGACAGTGGCACCGAAAGTTACGAAAGCTCAGATTCATTGCTACAGTCTTGGAATAGTCAGTCCTCCCTAGTAGATGTTCAGCGGGTCCCATCTTATGACAGCTTTGAAGATGACTGCAGCCAGTCCTTGTGTCTGAACAAACCCACAATGTCCTTTAAAGACTATATTCAAGAAAGGAGTGACCCTGTAGAGCAAGGGAAACCAGTTATTCCGGCAGCAATACTAGCAGGATTTACAGGCAAGTAAAATATTTCCTTTTCCCCTCTTTTGTCTCTAGGCCTCCTTGTTTTACTAATGGTTCAAATGAAAATTGTGTATGCTAGGACTCTTATTCAGGCCTCTCTTCTTAATCTGAAGTGATTATTTTGATATAAAGCCATAGTTCCACAACATTGCAATGTCCTGTAATTTTATTTTTCAAATAAATTTGATTCAGGTGAAGTTGAACCTGCTCTAAAATGTAACATTTTAAGAGAGAAAAAGATTAATTCAGACAACTCTTCTGGATTTTCATTTTTTTTTAAAAAGCCTCAACTGTTGTAATAAATCCCTATCATTTACCAACTTTTTCTAATATAGATTTTGGTGTCTGGTTGATCTTTCAACCAAGAAGGTTTTTAAAAGAATCGTATTGTTAATATTTAAATCTTGAAAACTAACTTATCTGATATTCTTATGAATTCTTGTGTCTTTCTGTATGTATACTTTAACCATTTGTTTTGATATTGATAGGTAGTGGACCCATACAGCTATGGCAGTTTCTTCTAGAACTTCTGACTGACAAATCTTGTCAGGCATTCATAAGCTGGACTGGAGATGGTTGGGAGTTTAAACTTGCAGATCCAGATGAGGTTAGTAATTCAAGTCATCCATTATTAAAAATAAATGGAAGTTTATAGCAGCCAGCAGGGTGTAGCTGTAGTATATATCAAACTAAGATTAGGAAACTGAGTTTTCAGTCTATTCTTGGCCTTGGAAAGTCACTGTGGAATTTCAGGGCAGTCTCTGTATTTCTAGATAGAGATATATCTTTCTCAGTCTCCATCCAACTTACCTTATAGATTTGTTGTTCTGATCAAATGAATGAAGATCCTTAATTAAGCCACTTTGAAGCTTCCAAAGAAAAGGCAGGGTGTAAACTAATTGCACAGAGCCACCAGAAAGACAAGGGCCACTTCAAACATCTCATTCACAAGCAATGATATATGATTAAAGCTTCAGTTTCATATATTAATATGGAATTGTACAGGCGAGCCTCTCATTAATTACGTTGTAAACAGAATAGTTTACAAATGGTTCTAAACATACGATCTTTTGTTTAATGGCCATTCAAAGTAGGGCAACTCTGACAAAAGTTACTTACAACCAGTACCCACACTTAACTACCATTGCAGCATCCTCACAATCACATGATCAAAATTTGGGGATTTGGCAACCAGCATGTATTTATGATGGTTGCAGCATCCCATGGTCACATGGTTGTCATTTGCAACCTTTCCAGGGGGCTTTTGATAAGCAAAGACAATGGGGGAAGCTGGTTGCTTAATGACTATGTGATTCATTGAACAGCTGCTATTCAATTAACATAGCAAAAAAGATAATAAAATCAGGTGTGACTCAGTTGACTGCATCACTTAGTGTCGAAAGTTTTGGTCCCAATTGTGGCAGTAAGTCAAGGACCATCTGTATAACTTTAGATACAAACTCTCAAATTATGGAACTTCATATTCTCTGAAAGGATGATCTGTTCTGAAGATGTACTAAACAGCATGGAAATTGTGCTCTTTATTGAGATGTAGACTTTGAGGCTCCAGTAACATTAAGTAGTTGCTCAGTAGCTAAATTTATATTGGTACTGAATATTACAACTGAAGTTTAATTGGACCCAATTATATAGTGTAATTGAATTTTCTTGTTGGACACAACTGAGAGTTATGGTTGGACTTGTGTCTCTGTTAATGATTGAGATTCATGGCACGTGAAAGAAGACTAATGATTCTGCTGCTTTTAAAGTAGAGCTTTAATACAATTTTAAAATTGTACCTAAATAACTACATTGAATTGTTTTCTTTCTTTCTTTTTATCTCAGGTTGCAAGAAGGTGGGGCAGAAGAAAAAACAAGCCCAAAATGAACTATGAGAAGTTGAGCCGTGGCCTGCGTTATTATTATGATAAGAACATTATTCACAAAACTTCAGGCAAACGTTATGTATACCGCTTTGTATGTGATCTACAAAATCTGTTGGGATATACAGCAGAGGAACTCCATGCAATGCTAGGAGTACAGCCAGATACTGAAGACTGAGCACTGCAGTCTTGTGAGCTTTGGATGCAAAAACGTATGAATCTGTGATTTGGGACCTTCTACACCAGTCACTGGATTTATCTTCTGGCTGTTTGGAGTAGTACACTGTTGAACTCCTAAAAGAAGTGTTTTCATAATTGGGGGAAGAAGTGGATTCAGTTTCAGGCAGAAAAAGAACTTATGTATCCAGCCTTTTCAGCAGTCCTTCCAGAGGTCAACCCAGTTCCTGACTAAACCTGAAGATAGCAAAATACTCTGGGGCTCAAGGTTCAATTATGTCAACTTCTAAATAAGTAAAGGTGACACCCAGGCTAAACCTATTGGAATTTCAAGCATTAAACCCCATTTTACTGTTAACAATATTGCAGACATTACATATCATCATTTGTTTTATTGAAGGAGAAAAGGCTAGGTATGTTTTATTTAATGTATGTGCCATATAAATTTACAAAGGGCATTCTTTTATAGTTGTGTATGTTTCATCGTACACATCTTGAAACCAAAAGGAGCAATGGCAGAGATTCCGTACAAAGACAGAAAAAATATACCATTTCAAAAAAATCTGTATATTTATGTGTGGTGTGTATGCTTAAGCATGTTCATATGTTTCTCTGGCAGTGAAAAGCTCCTATTTAATAAATATTGTATATTGTAATTTAAAATCATGTAAACATCTGAAGTGGAAAAATGTGTTTTAATTCAAAAGAGCAGCTTTTACAGCATCTTGGAAGATTTTAATTTTTTAAGGGAATTTGTATAAAATAAGCACATGCCAAGTGCCCTGTCGCAGAAGACTGTTTAAGGCTGACAGACACCTGAACTTTTATGGCAAGAAGCTAATTGTTCACTTTGGGTCATAAAGTCTCATTTGAGTGATGTTGTAACTGAAAATAGCAATGTTGCTGAACTATATTTATTAATGGAAAATCACTTCTATGCATGTCCTTTTAAAAACAATTGATTATATATATATAATATATATATATTATATAATATATAATAATATATATATATATTATTCTTTCAGTTGTCCCTTTTCCATCCCTTTCATTCACTTATAATGAATTATCCTGATTAAAATAAGAATTCTATTTTTGGAAAAAAAAACTGATTTCTTTTCTGCAATTAGAAAACAGATATATAGCAGCTATTTTTACTGCAAAAGCAAAAAGCTTCACTGGAAAACATGTAACAAAATGAAGTTTAAAAAACATTGACTTTTATTAAAACACCTTGAACAAGGGCCAGTAATTATGTAGTTATTTGTGTTTCAAAGTTGTTACTTAACTTCATCTTAAACAATTCATTGATAAATCTCTAAACAAGACAAACTATATTTGCCTGATAATTCCAGTATAAATACAATCCCAAATTTAGATTTTAGAATAGATGCAGAATTTTAACATTATAAAAGTGGGTAACTGAAAACATTGCTAAATCTATAACATCATTTTCATTCAATGTACTTTTAAATTGGAGAACTAAAGTTCTTGCTTCCAGGATAGCTTTGACTTGTTCTTTAAAGCAATAATTCTAAGTTACACAAACTTTTTCTAAGTTGTATAAACATTGCCCAAGAAAAGAGTACTTGCTGGTAAAATATACATCAAAATACAGCTGTGGAAAATTTGGGAAGTTTTCCACTCGTGCTTTCTAATGGCAGACGCATCTTGTATTTCATTTTATCAGTCTTCATCTTGTTGAATCTTAAGAGTAGAAATGAAGTGTCATTTTACTAGCAATCCCATTCAAGTAACATCTAGGCTTTTCTGCACGATGCTTCATTTTTCCATGAACATATTGAAGGAGCCATTTTTTAAATAGTGACTTTTTTTATTCATATGCCAAGACATGTGATAGGTTAAAAACTGGTAGAAACTTGTAAATCAACATTTGGATTTTTCTTATAGTTCATATCTTGCTAGATATTAAGCATGGGAAATGCAATATAGCCTGCAAACTCACAGTTTTTTAAAAAGCAAATCTTAAGGTCAATTTTATGTGATAGGAAGAGAGAATTTAATTCAATCCTTTTATTTCATAGTTTCTTCTTTTGTAAAATTTAGCTTCTGTATAATGCAAAGGACTTGAAATAACATGCAGATTAGGAGATTCTCACATCACACATCCATACCATGTCAATTTTAGACCATGATTTGGGTCTATTTGAATAATATGTATATTGGTTTTTCCCCTGATTTCTCTCTCTCCATATATCTTAGACATTTAGCTCATCTACCATTTTAAAAAATGTTCTAGGTAATGTTCTTCTCATTTCTTTCTTTACTTTTATCGCTTTTATAGTCTTAATTTTTTATCTATTATTGCGTTGAAGTCTCCTATACCACAGATGATATTTTGTAATTTTTTGTAAAATTGTAAAATTGTTCTTGTCCCCCATTCAGGGCATATTTTTCTATTAATCTGACCCACTTTTGATTTAATATTATTTCCACGATCAAAATCCTTCCCTCCTCATCTTTATAAATTTGCTTAGCCGAAATCGTCTCCTTGATATATAACACTATCCCTCTCTTCTTTTGTTGTGCTAGTGATACAAATATTTTCCCCAGTTTGGTGTAGTCCAGTAGTTGTTGGTGTTGTTCCTTTATATGGACTAATGTCAGTTGTTTTTTAAAGATGCAAGATGTTTTTTAAAGGAAGTAGGCTTTCCAATGAGCAAAATATGATATATATCAATTCACTACATCCTTTCCCAATGTCGTTGGTTATTTTGGTTATAATACTGTGCTTAGATTGAGGTATATACTTAATATAATTACCTTAAATGCAACCAGCTTAGTTCAATAATTAATGGAGATAGAAAAATATCCACAATGTTGTCATTCCCTGGGCAAACTGACATTGTAGTAGCTATAAAAATGCAGGAGAAAGTAACATCAATGGGCTAGATGTTGTGATACTGCACAGCTAACATACAACTAACTACCAGTATCTTTAATGTAATGACAATATTGGGAAGCGGGCTGCTAGCCACGTGAAGGCCAGTAAGTTGTTCATCCCTATAATGAAAAGCTGGGAAAAAGAAAGGCTGGAGATGAGAAAGATAATTGTTTCTTTTTGCCATGCTGTGGAGCTTTGAAAAACAAGCTGTTTTGTCCTTTTCTTTTGTGGGCTGTACTGTACTTAGTAAATATGGGCCTACAAACTATTAAGAATAGCTCATTTCCAATTATGTCATAGGCAAAGTCCACAGGTTAGGTTCCCATGACAACTAAGCACACATCTATTCTAACAAGAATTGGAGAAGACACTTAGCTGACACTGAAAAAACATCTTTTTTTCTATTGGCCAAACTGGCTAAAAATAAATGTAGGAACTGAAAGCTAAAGTAACTGTTAGCTCATCTTACATACTATGGGAACATGCAGTCTTCCAAAATTATGAAATATGTTCTTAATTGAACACACTGAAGTGAATGTGGTAATGTTGTGGTAAATGCTGGTGTTTTAACATTGCTGTATATCGAATCCTACAGAATGCAAAGTTCTTGACTCATTTACAGTAAAAGCAGAAGAGATGTTACATCATAGCAACAAAAAAAAAGTCCAGGCTACTACAATAGGTTTCCAAAACATAATCAGCTAGTTTTTTTTCCCTGTATATGTTTTATTTTTATTCATAAACATTTTGAATAGAGTGTATTGTCAGGGAATATCATTAACGAAAAAGAAAAGGAAAAAACAAACATAAATATCAATATATTTCTACCTAATTTCTACCACTTATCTTGAATCAGTTGTAAAATTTTCCATGTTAAATAATATTTTTGTCTTCTTTATCCTTTATTTTTAATGTCAATCTATACATCTCTGCACAGTCTAGTATTTTCTAAATTATATCCTCATCTGATGGGGTGTTCTCATTTTTCCAATATTGTGCAAATACAATCCTTGCAGCTCTCAATACATGCAAATTAGATATACGGTCCCTTTATCATATCCTTCTACCAAACAAAAATATTTCTGGTTTCAAGTCTATGTGTTGCTTAATCATCTTTTCCAGCTATTTTGGCATTTAACTGTCTGCTCAGCACTGCAATGAAATTGTGATAGGGCAGAATCAATGCATTTTATTTTTCTGCATCAACTATTTATCAACATCGATAAACTAATTTAGACTGCTACACTTTGGGGCAACAAAATGAAACCAGAGATCAGTTGGTACTCAGAAGTCAACTCTGTGAATGGTTTTTTTAAAAAAAAAAATAGCTATACCTAGATTAGGAGAAAAATATGTTGTGTGAACATGTGAGGAGTGTCATTCTTTCACAAATAGCCACCCATAGGATTTAAAAATATAGGCAGGGGTGAGATTCTACCGGTTCGGACTGGTTCGGGTGAACTGGATGTTAAATTTGCATCTGATTCACCGAACCAGTATTTGAACCAATCGGCTGGCACCACCCACCCCACCCCTCTCAGGAGTCTCCACGCAGCCCATTTTTGATGAAGGGTCCACACGGAGGGTCTGGGAGGGGGGAAAACGGGCCTTCCGGAAGTCCAGAAATGGGTCTGTTTCTAGCTTCCAGAGGGCCTCCAGAGCCCAAGGGAGGTCATTTTCACCCTCCCAGAGGCCCGAGGGAAGCCTCTGGACCCTTGGGAAGGCGAAAAACAGCCCTCCTAGAAGTTCCGGTAGACCACGCCTACCATGGTGATGCCCACCCAGCAACTGGGCAGCGAACCGGTTGCTGGGATTTTTGAATCCCACCCCTGAGTATAGGGTTTTTCATCACTGACAGTATTGAAAGGAAACTTGCTTGCTTGCTCATTTATTAATGTATGCACTTAGGGACCATCAAATTCCATAAGACTCTTGGAGTTAGAACAGAAAACAATAAATCAGTAAAAATACAACCACTCACAACTGATAGCCTCCACTTACCTCCCATTTCTGTGTAGCAGTGAATAAAATGTGGTAGATTAGAGCTTGGTGCAATTGGGCAAATAGACCTGCTCCAACTCTTGCCTAAAGAAAAACAACCAATTTCATCCTCCTATTCTGACCCCAAAGAGCATAAAAAGTACATGATGACTTGTTGTTATACAGAAAAGCAGAGGGGCTTTTAAAATTAGTTCTGGAAAACAGGCTTTAAAGTTTATATATCTTTAAGTAAGCTCAAGACGAATCTTGATTTTTGGACTATCACCCATGCACACATGGACACACATGTTTCTTGCCTTATTGACATTTGTTTACAGACCAATTCATTTAAATAGTGTTTCTAGATAATATATTAAAACCAAAGAAACATGCAGAAACTCATTCATTGCAATCATTCAATCTTTTATCTCTTAGAAAACACATTTTTGCTGAAAAATCACATTTTCACCCTTCCAATTTTACTATGACGGGAAAATGTAATTCTGTCCAGAGCTCTTAGAGACATTGTGGCAGAAGCACTTCCTGAAATGTGGCTCTAGAAGAAAACAAAAAGGGGAAGGAGATGTTGGAAATCCCCACCATGATTAGCTTTGTACTTTGTCCACTTGGCAACAGTACATTTCTGGACTTTATTTATTTATTTGGTT